CCCAGTCACTGAATCAATCCATCTCATAGAGGGTCATCCCCTCCTGCGCTGTCCCTCCACCCAAATTTTATGTAATTGATAGCACACAATATAAAACTTTTTAATCATTTCACTTATTGCTGTAAAGACTTTAATCAACTGATTTCTCATGGATGTTAGAATTTAACTGTTTTTTTGTAGGGTTTTTAACAGCTAATTTCTCAGCGTATCACTTCTCTGGAGTTTATCAGAGAATTTGGAACGCTAATCTATCCCTCTGCTAACAGTGGAAAATGTGGAATCGGAACCAACTGATAGCTGACTCTTCTGTGGGTTTTTAGAGACAGTAAATCACAGAGGAGGAGAATGGTCATCTTTCTCCCACAGAGCAGCTGGTGGATTTGAACCACATACTTTTGCATTGTCAGTGTAAATCTGTTAAATCAAAACAGAGTTTTCAAAGACCAAATTTTTAATGGCTACCTAACATTCTCTTTGAGAAATTCGACCATGATTTACTTAACTATTACCCTATGTTGCATATAGAGATTTTTTTTTTGGTGTGAGTTTTCATTATTATAAAATGGGCAATCTCCTCCCATTAATTTACAGTCTCCAGAAATGCAGAGAAGGATAAACTACGAGTCTGTTCCCACTTGAAGGCAATAAGAAAGACAGAGAGATAAGCACCTATGTAATAATTATTCTTATAAAATTGTTTGTGAATGATTACTAGTGCCTTTTGGTAATTTCCCCAAAATAAAGTTACTAAATTTAAAGGTATGAATACATTTTGAAATATAATGCCAAAATCCTTCAGTTCTGAACACTTTTATCCTAAAAAAAAAATAAAATACGAACTAACACAAATTATACAAAAGCATCTCCTTAAAGTACCTGTACCCCACCCAAACTGTCCATCTAAAAATCAAATGTCACCAGGAAAAGCGAGACTGCACTTGAGCAAAAGGGCACATCAGGGAAATTCTAAAACACCGCTGGAAAAAGAACTCCAAGTGTGTGCCATATTGGCAATGAGCTTACAGCATCATTTCACTATGAAGTCACTGCATGTGAATCCAAAACACTGTCACCAAATCCTATTCTGTGATTGAATTTTAAGTTTATTATATTAGATTTAATTTGGAATAGCAGACTCCAAACAAGGTTAAATTGTTTGAGACTGCCCCATACTTTTCCAAAGCCATAATGTAGATTCACTTTTACACTCAATCCGAGGTGCCACATCAAAGTGACACTGTCCGCTTTCTCCGTGCCAATTATTAGAAACAATTCTCTTTCTGGCTCCAATATTTTGGCAGACTTACTATGTACTTTTAAAAGAAGGAAAGCAAAGTAAAGAGTTGTATTAGCCTCTGAAGAACTGCCTTTACATGATTCCTGCTTGACATCTGCCAAACATCTTTTCAATCAATATCCCAACAGTGCCAAGCTTTTCACTTTTTCTGTTATATTTTAAGCACAAGTCAGTTCAGTCAAAGAAATTTACGTGAAATTATTTAACATCACTGCCTCCAAATCATAAAAAGTCTTTTTAGAACGTATTTGTAATTTTTTTTTAAAAGCAATGGATAAAATAAATATTAAAGCCAAATTACATATTTGTCCACTTTCCACAAATGTCTGTTTGAAAACTCAGTGCTTAACAAATTTTTTTTCCTACTGCAAGAAAACAAAGTTTAGTAAACTATATATTAGACTTTTGGTAAATTTTTGATTAAGACTTAATTGAATCTATGACTTATATATCTATTAGTGATAAAATTTGATGTAGTATAAACTGCCCAAAGGCATTTTAAAAGAGTATATGGACTAAAACTAGAGGAAAATTCTAGGAATTAATTTTTTCTAAAATGCTATAAAAAAATTACCCGGTGTGCAATATATATTAAGTCTTAAATGGCAGATCCCAGTAAAATCTCAACAACCAGGTTTTCTTTGTAAGGATAACTCATATAAGAACACACAGCTATAGCACACCAGAACCAGAAAGCCAGATGTCTCATCTCTCTTAGGCAGCTTACGAGCCAAATCTTAAAGTTCTTTTTCCTCAAAGGTTTAAATACTATCCAAAAGGAGAAGAATATGTCCTTCAAGATCTCAAAAACTTGCAACCTTAAAAAAAACTGCAAAAATTATCCTAAATCTCATTCTGTTCATTCTTACAGTTTGCACTAGACTCGTGTTTCAGCATCTTTGCTTCTTTGGAGAAAGCATTAAATGCTCTTAAATCAGTTAAGATATCCTAAAAAAAGAAAAGGAGCTCTTTTTAAACAAATATAAATAAATCATACTCATAATCTATGAACTCAACTATTTTCTGTTGATGATTGGACTAATCTTTCCCAATCAGTTCAATGGTCATCAAAAACAACAACAAAATGCATTTATCCTCTCTTGCCATTGCTATGTTATATATACATGTGTGTGTTGTTTACTGGAAGCCTTTGCCAATACATTTAAATATGATGAGAATGAACTGCTGATCCACTAGGTGGGCTGGGAAAGAGTCCATCGTGGTTGTTTTATGTTCATCATGTGGTGAGCATTCAGTGCAAAGTCATCAAATACCGTATTTATTACACTTGTGGTTTTCAGAATTATGGGGGTATTAGAAATGAAGGTAAGAGTCTTCAAAAAACAACTAAAACCTGGGGGAAAAAAGGGGAAATTGGGCTACAATTACCTGGATCATCAGGGTAACTACTTTCTTTTCCTGAATTTCTAACACAGAAACCTTCCCTTCATGGTGAACATTTTATGCATCATACCTGTTACACACTTGAGTTCTGAAATCTCCCTAAGACTCTCCTCCTATTTTTAAAATAGCAAGTGTTTTGCTAAACATACTGACATCTGTATGTTATTTCTACCTGAGAAGAAACACAGGCCAACAGGGCAGTGGCTCCTGGAGATGCCTGAGACTATTTGTACACAAGCTCATACACATTCCCAACAAAGAGCAGAACAGGCCACACCTCAATTGTGGCAGCAAGATGATTCCAGCAGGGGAAAAACATGACTTTTCTCTTACTTAATTCCATTATGAGCTGTATGGTCTTGAAACACTTAGACCTCTTTTTTTGGCTGCCTACCAAAAGCAAAAACTAGTATGTTTTACCTGATTAACTTTTTCCCAATTACAAATTTTCTTAAGTAGGGAACAGAGAAATATAATCTCATATATACATATATATATTTTCCTAGAAGTAAACAGATTGCCAATCTAACTGAAAATACTAAAATTTCTGAAGCACGCATTGAAGATCTTGGTATGTTAAGTGGATTAAATAGCGTAATCCCTTAAAAAAAGGCAAACTTGCCGTTATTTTAAAATTTCACTTAGATAAGGAAAATAGCAAAGCAGCCCAAAAGATGAGAAATTTTTAAATAGTGGAACTTGCAATCCAAGTCTCAAAAAAAGAAAATGATCAGTAGTATTACATCATTAGTTATAAAACAAGGACGTAAACAACACTTTTCAAACTAATTTTTTATCATAAAATAATGTCCCCAGATGAGAATGCAATTTTTATCTTATCATTATTCACATAAATTGCATTTTGCATTGTTTTCATGAAGTTAGTTCTTTCTTTCTGACTTAAATAGTTCTCATTTAACAGACAACAAGCAGATGGTGTATATGTTTCCATTAATTTCTCCATGTTTGGTTTCACTATCTGAATTTCCGTTGGCGCAGACACAATATTTCAATAATCATCTCGGGTTCAGAACGGCTCTGCATTAATTTACCACTGTGTTCACCTTATCTATTAGGATGCAGTGTACCATACACACGATGTAGTTCGGATCTAGATTTATGTTTTCTGGCATTTGCACACACTCTAAAGTTCCTTTTTGAATGTTTAAGAACTCAACTATATGAGATGTTCAAAATGTAATTAAAAAAATCCTGTTCTTTAGATTCCACATACTGTACCTGCGCGAACGGAGTTACTCAACAGCATACCACCCACATCCTACATATAAAATCCTGAAAAGCTTTGAGTACCTCCCTACATTTACTGGATTTTGTGTTTCCACCAAAGGAATGCTTCTCAGCCGCAAGTTTTTGTCGTTATTGTGAACACATCACGTAAAATTTATGTTCGGAAATCAAAGTGCTATAAAAATAGCCTCGATGATGATTCGGCCAACTGTTAAGTTTTTAACCCTTTATTCTGTTCCTCACATCAGTATTGCCTATTGGCCCTAAATTTGCAAAAAGACTTCCCAGGTTGGGGAGGAGGGGGTCTCTGACTCATCAGAGAAGAATGCAGCTGATAAATTAATTATCTATTAAACCAAAATTCCGGCGCTTGAAAAATATTTACCAAGAACTTTTAACACTTAAAGGGAGGGAAAAGTTATAAAACAAAATGAGTTTGAATGGTTGAATGTAAAACCAATTTGCATTATAAACTTCACTCAATAAAAATAATTAAAGAAGAAAAATAAGTTTTGAAACAGGGAATAAAAGATTTAAAAGGGAGAGGACAGGGGTACAGAAAGTGTTGGCGAGGGCTTGTACCCCGAATTTCTTGAAACACACACACACACACACACACACACACACACGAACTACGAATCCTAGAGGGCAAAACTCAATTCTGACCTCCAGGTCCCAAGAATCTGAAGTCACCCAAGAGTCAACTCTCGATTCGCTCTTTAAAGCCCGGAGCAAACAAAGCTGATCATTATACTTACAAAAGTCTCCAAAAAGTCCTCAAAGTTACGCAATTTTAAGAACGCAGACAAGCGTGGATACACAAGAACAAACTCCAGAGAAACTCCCTTCCGGGACCTAAGTTTTGGGGTTGTGTCTCTGGGCAAGGTCAGTTTCCAAACCTACTTCGGCGCCCCCTCCCCTGGCACCATGCCCGTCGTCCCGGTCCCAGCACCCGCGCCCCGCCGGCTACCCTGCGGCTGCCCGCGCTCTGGGGCAAGCCGGCTCCTCCCGTCCCAGGTCGCACCCGCCACTTCACCGAGCCGCTCAGTACCTCTTCCTCCTGAAGGTTGGCCTCGTTTGGGGTGTTCTCCTTCTCGGCTTTGCTGCCGTTGTTCATCTTCCCGGTCCTTTCTCCCCGGGCGGGGCTGGGGCGCGGGACTGGGCGAGGGCGCGCTCGCCCACTGTTCCCTTCCCGGGGCACCCGGACTCCCTCGGGTGGGGTGCCGCGGGCAGCGGAGACTGGAGCTGGGGCCGCGGCTGCTCGGGCTCCCGCAGCGCGGAGAGACTGCGGCGGCCGGCGACTCAGGAAGTGCGAGGCAGCAACCGGGCAGGGCAAGGGCGCGGGCGGACTTAAGAAGGGAACGCAGACAATCGGGACCCGCGAGAGAGACCTGGAGAGGGAGGGCGGGCGCGAGGGAAGGAAGGAAGGAAGCTAGGATGGGGCTAGAGATTTGGGGATGTGGCCAAGTTGGGGCTGGGGGCTGCTACTGCTCAAGTTTAGCAGCAGCTGGAGTGGGCGGGAGCGAGGGGTGTCCCGAGAGGAGGAGTTGGTGCGGGGTGGCGGGGCGCGGGCTCCACCACGACTGGGACGCCGGGACGTGGAGAGCCGCTGAGTGCGCGCTCCTGGCAGGCTCTGGAAGTCCGGGACCGAAGCGGCTCCCTTTCTCTCGCCTTTCCTCCCTCCCCTCTCCCCTCCTCTTTCCTCCTCCTCCCTCCCTCCGCCCTCTCTGTTCGTGGGCTGCGGTCTTCAGCCCTGAGGGACGGGACGGGACGGAGCGGCAGAGCCCCCCGCGGGAGGAGGGGCTGCGCAGAGGGTGGCTGCTCGGCGGCCGGATGGCGCGCTCCAGGAGGGGCGGTGGGCCTCGGGCGGAAGCGGCGACCCCAGCTCCCGACTTCGCGGTAGGTCGGGGGCCGAGGCGGACTCAGGGAGAGAGGGTCCCCTGTCCTCGGCTCACCCGGCCCCTTTGGGCTGCGGTGACCGAGTTGCGAACTCGCGTGTCGGTGCGCGTGAGCTTGGAGAGGGACTACGGGGAAACAGGCCCTGCTAGTGCAGAGACCGGGAATTGGGATGTGCTATTTTGCTTGCTTAACTTTCAATGAGAGAATTAACACCCCTATCCCTAAACCTTCTTTTTTTCTACTGATTTAGATACAGTTTTCCTCCGGTAGGCTGAAATGTCAGTATGTAGGAACTCGTGAGGTCCACGGTGTATGCCTGCTCAAAACTGGCCTTTTCAGGTTGTAGCTTCAAACCCACTTTGAACGTGGGGTTCACGGAAGCCTCTTCAGCCTCCTCGCACTGGAGATCGCCTTCAGGGCTTCTTGGAGCCCTTGTTCAGACGGTTTCTGAGACCGTTCTGGAATTGTTTACCTGGAATTGTCTTCCCGAGAGATCTTTATTAGGAGATAAAGACCTACCTTGTTTATCCTTTTTAATCTCTCGGCTATTTAAATACACTACCTAGTATATACTAGGCACTCAGTAAATATTTGTTGCCTAAGTGAATATTCTTCCCTGTAAGTAGAACTTGAGTTCAATACAGATGATCTTTAGAGGACTCAAAACACAAAGAAAAGGAAACTCGAGCTCTGGGAGGTAAACACTTCATTACTGTACACCAGCCTTGGAAGGACTGCATGTCTTCTGTCTCTTTTTGTAAGAAGGAATGGTATACTTACATCCCAGGGTGATGCAAGTTGGAGAAGTTTATAGACTGAGAAGGAGGAGCCTGGGGCACAAAAGTTTAGAGTGTTGTCCTGCTAGAGAAAGGTTTGTTGTTGGAACCCACAGAAAGGCATTGAGGAAGAGTAACCTGGCAATCTACTTCCAAAAGGTCACAGCCTTGAAAACCTTATAAGGTTAGTTCAGAGTCTCTATGAGTGGGAATAATGAATTTAAAGAGGCATAGCACCTATTCTTGTTCAAAGGTCACAGAATACAAAAGCTAACAAATTACTGCAAAAAGTCCCATTTTTCCTGGGTCGTAGAGGGATTTTCCAATACCGGATTATGTATACTTTGTCTAGACTACTATAGCACACTCTCTCCCACTTTTCCCAACTTTTGAATGTCTAAGATCTCTTTCCTCACAGAAATGATGTTCCTTCATGGCACAAATCAGAATTTCTAACTATTTTGCTTACTTATCTTCTCTATGCCTTGCCTTCCCCCCCAACTAGACATTTCTTTAGTTATATGCTCGTTAGAGTAAGGTAGAGGTTGCAGCTTCAGCCTCTGTCTTTGAGAAATCTAAAGTGATGTAAATAAATGTACCCAAAGCTACTCTACAGAAACATAGTCTCCTAACTCTGGTTTAAATTGTAGAAAATAGTTACATTTTCTAAACTTGCTTTAAGTGGATTAGGGAGAGAAAAGCAGTGGTGTTACTTTAACATATATTGAGTTTACTTGGAAATATGAAAATTCTGACAGAAATTTCTAAAGGAAAACACAATGTTTTCCTTTAATTACTACAATAATGTCATTTCTCTCTATGGTGACAAAAACATATCCTCGATAAAAAGAAACCTAGAGTTTCTGGAAACTGAAGTTAAAGAAGTCCAGAAGGGCAAGGACGAGGGTTAATCTTAAATTTTGTTAACCTTTTTATCCTTGTTTTGATGATTGATTTAATTGGTACCCTTTCCATTGCTAGCCTTTCCTTTAGTTTAGATGTAACCACAAGGGGGCAATGTCTTCCTGAGCAATGATTGAGTGGTGGTCTTGGGCCCCAGTGCTGGTAGTTAATGCCACCACCTATCCCTTGTGGCCACTCTTGCCTGTTACCAAAGGCACTCTACAGAACAGGATTGTCTTGTTAGAGACTGGCAAACACCCAAGAAAAGTGACAGTTGATTTAGTCATGGATGGTTCCAGTCAGACCCCCACGTAAGTGTAGGTGGAATATGTTGTGTTGTTTCAGGATGCTGGGAGAACCTCCCTTCCCCCTGCACAGGGAAATGTGGCTTTGTTCCAAAAGCACAACCTTTTCCCTTTGTCTTTAAGCCAAGTCAGGACTTTGTCTATTGTTAAAAGTCAGAAACCTCGGGGATAAAAAACAAGAATAAGTTGCATGAGAAGATCTTTGCTTCAATTGTCAAATGTTATTTTCTTAATATCTAGATAGTGCCAAACACAATCCAAAACCAACACAATCTGTTGCCCATAACTCAATTCCAATTCATATCAACCCTACCAGAGAGAGCAGAACTTTCCCTAAACTAGTATCCATGAAAGCAGACTACCACATCTTTCTCGCGCAGAGCAGCTGGTGGGATTCAATCATGGGCCTTTCGGTTAGCAGGGGAGACCTTCACCACTGCACCACACTGGGTCTGCTGAATACCTAGCTGTTGCTGGATGTCATCAAGTCAACAACACCAACTCAAAGCAACCCCATATATAAGAACAAGGCACTAATGAGTCTTGCACTATCCTCACAATCATTACTGTGTTTCAGCACTTTGTTGTAATCGCTGTGTCAATCCATCTTCCTGAAGTTTTTCCTCATTTTTGCTGAGCCTCTGCTTTGCCGAGAATGACTTCCTTCTCTGGGGGCTGGTCTTTCCTGATATCATGTCCAAAGTATGTAAGACAAAGATCTTTCCTACGTCTTGCAGTGTTCACTTCTAAGGAACATGCTGAGTAATTACAAGACAGATTTGTTCATTTTCCTGGCAGTCTATGGTATATTCAATATTCTTTGCCAACAGCATAATTCGAAGATTATCAGGTCTTCTTTAGTTATTGTTGTTAGAAGCTGTTTAGTCAACTCCATGCACTCCGCATACAATAGATTGAAATCTTGCCTGGTCCTGCCCCATCCCCAAAGTCTCTGCTGCGCTTTCATCCATTGTTGCAAGTTATTATGACAGCCTGTCTCTCCTGAGGTCTTCCTCTTTTTGTGTTAATCCCCCACCTTCCCAAGCATGATGTCCCTTTCCAAGGACTAGCTGCTCCAGATGATATGTTCGAAGTATGTGAGATAATTTTTCACAATTTCCTTCTAAGCAGTAGTTTCGTTGTTTGTTGTTAATGTGCCATTGAGTCAACTATGACTCAATCCTGTGAACAATAGCTCTGAATTCTGCCCTATCCTGAGCCAATCTGACTGTCTTCGACATGCCTACCCCTATTACCCCAGTTATTGAGTCAATCCATCTCATCCAGGGTCTTCCTCTCCTGCGCTGTCCCTCCACCCTTCTAGGCATGATGTCCTTCTCAAACAACTGGTCCCTCCTGGCAGCAAGCCCAAATTATATGAAACAGAGCCTCAAAATCCTTGCCTCTAAGGAACAGCTTGATTTCATCCTCTCCATGACATCTTTTTGTTCTCTTGGCAGTTCAATACTCTTCTCAAGCATCACAACTCAAACTCATAGTAGTAGTAGTAGTAGATTCTCTTTTTTTTCACCTTTTAAAAATTTTTATTATTAATTTCAATGAAAATTTACAGAGATTTTGGATTTCCATTCATTCATTGTGGCACTTTTCTCCTCTCCCAACCTCCCCCTTAGTACACTACCCTCTTGGAAAAGTAAAAGAAAAAGTCTTTTATTGTTTTACAATCCCTCCCCCCAGGTCCACTCCACTATACAGCCTTCTCTCTGGACTCCCGTCATGACAAAAATACGTAATAACATATTCCTCTTAAACAGTTTGCTCCCTCATGTTTCAATGCAGTATACATTGTTGAAAACATCTTTCTCAGACTACCCCCCC